AAGTACTCAAACTATAATTAGTCATTGCCCCTTTCTTCCTCCTCACTCTCACTATCACCATCACTATCACTATCACTACTCTTCCTGTAGTTTCACCTCTCAGTCTTCTCCTTTTCTCTCCGTTCACTCTCCCTGTCATCAATCTGTCCCTTCAGACAAAAACAGATGAGGTGGAGACTGGCCAGTCATGCGGCTGTCTCTCCAAAACGAGTCTGACCCCAAGCTGCCAGCCAGGTCAGAAGATGAGGTTGGGACATGAAAGGTGAGCGGTGCTGTTTCCCATGCTCTCTGTCCAAAGAGGCAGCACTTCAAACGAGATGACCCTCAGACCTCTCTCCAGATGAGGCCAAATTTTTCATTGGTCCAACTGCTGTGGCCTCCAGGAACTCCAGCCGCCCCCAAAGTACGTCCGGATCCCCACTCATGGCTGTTCATCCTAAACTCGCCTGGGGTGAGCTGAGGTTATCTAACTCCTGCACTATGATTCCAGTTCCTCTGGAGAGCTAAATCCAGCAGCGTCCCAAAGTAGTTTTTCAATGCTGAAATGATTTCTTGTTAAGCTGTGACATGCTTTTACCATTTAACTATGCAAACTGAACAAGACAGATTTGTACACTGCTTTAAAGGAATCTTTTGTGTAAGAAAAAGCTGTCTTCAAAATGTCAGTTTTTCCTGAGCTAAAATATACTTTATGCATGTTTTAGTTTATCTAAAGAGATTTTAATATGTATATTTATTTATTCTCAACTTACACAGGAACAATAAAAACCTTCCAAATCCCCCAAGTTTGGAGATACATGATCTTCATATGGTAGTGATGTTAGGAAAATTAAATGTTTCTTGGCAAAATCTATAATGCCAGATCCTGCATAGCTTTATTTTGACACAGTCTAAGCAGATAGACTACTCTCATCTTTTCATGATGGCAGAGTTTATAAAAGCTGCAGACAACATTAAATATTGATTACTCAATGTGCAACAGTCAAAGTCCAGAACCACTGTTACAGTGTGAAAAATGTTGGACGAGAGTTAATCGACAGTGACAGAATACACTCGCAGTTGTCATCTCATCTTGATTCAAGTATTGCGAAATCCTGTTTGGCTTCCTTAAATATGTGACATCACCACCACCCACTTCAAACAAGTGACTTGAGGTCAGACAAAATAAAACAACAGTGGTGAAGTAGATATAACTAGTTAAAACTGTACACAATTTTGTAGGATACATGAGTTTTTTCATAGCATTATGACTTTATTCTCATATTCAAACAAATTTCTTTCCTTAAAGTTTTCTCTGCTGACGAGGGAGAAACACACTGAACTCTCTCTCCCTTTTCTGCATTTTTCCATTGCCTTATGTTTTTCAATCCTTTATACAAAGTCAAATCAAAACACTCTGTCTTGTGGTGGCTCGAGCCTCAATGCCCAACCCACTCTGAGTGCTCAAGAAAAAAAATGCCACAAATACAAAGCTACGCCCCACACTCTCATTCCATCCCACGCTTACATCCACCCTCCTCCCTCACTCCAGTCCTCGGCCTGGAGCCAAGGCTCCAGCCATGCTCAGAGAAGTGCTGATACTGATCCAACAACCCCCACTCCTTCTGCCTATTTCCCCTTTCTTCTTCTCCCCCTTTCATTTAATAATGATCTCAGTTTTTAATTTTTAGAAACAAACATGAGAAAATGCAACTGTGCTGCCAGAACAGCGTCCCCTTTGTTTTTACACAGCTTATTACGATCAGAATGGCTGGATCTCTTCCTTCCCTCTCCCCCATTTTTTCCTCTCACAGAGTTCCTCTCTCTCCCCCATATTTAATGTATTTCAGGAGATTACAGTCAGCCCAAAAGTGGATCAGGAGGACTCATGCTGAGATGCAGTGCATGTGGAGAATTTTAACAATATGCGGAACTCATCTTTACTTCAGCCCCTTTGTGTTAGTGTATTTAAACACACATGTGTGTGCATGTTGCTACATAAACACAGAACTACAACACATATTCACTAAACGCATACTCAAAATTGGGTAAAACCATCTCTTTCTCTCACACACACACACACACACACACACACAAGGCCCTTCAGGTGGGTAACTGGGTCCAGATAGACATCTTTCATAATGTTTATGAGCCCAGCTGACTAGCTGGCTGGTTGGCTCCATGAAACCTGGCTACCTGAGAGGTACTAGCTGAAGGAATGTCAAGAATCTCTGTATTCCCCAGAGCATCTAGCTTGAAAGACACGTACACACAGACACACACACACACTACACAATGCATACTCCAAAATAGGCCTAGACAGGATTGCTATGGTGCAGAATAGCAACAATGTGGGTGCAGGACAGAGCTGACATGGTGTTGCTAACAGGTGTCTCCCTGATCTCAAAAGAATAAAGACTTCTTTCTCTCCTACATTAACCATGATCACACAGTCTGAACTGTGCTAATATACACTGACAAATCAAAGTAGAGTATGTCACTCAAGGATTAAGTCTTTCTACATGCTGTTAAGGACTGTTTGTTATTTTTTAGACCAGGCTTTAAACAAGGCAGGCATATAAGATTTTAAGCCGTCTAGAAATGGAGAGATATGCTGCATTACAATGTTATGTCTAATTTGTCTAGCTGTAGTAATATGACCTCTCTGCTGGTTTAAATGAAATCTTTCCTATGAAATACTGTTTGCACTGTGACACCATCAGTGAATCATCATACCTGAAGCAACTAGAAAAGCATCACAACATGCTAACCATATAAAGTGAAGGTACATAAGATACATAAGGTACATAACAATTACACTGTGCAGTTGCACATTTATTTGCTTTATCCTTATGCTAGGGGCACAACAGCTCACAATCGAAGTGACATTTCAAAGACAGAGAAAGTGATTGTGGACAAAAAACATCAGCGGATCAATGCACCTGAGCTTGCTCAAGGACACTTAATCTGTAGGAGCTGGGGAGGAAGTGTAGGGCATCACAACACATTCATCCCTCCTTTTGTTCCTCCCATACTCACTTAACTGCTCTCTGTCCGCCCCAGTGTCCTCTGAGCGTTCTGTATCGTCCTCGTCATCCCCCGACGAGATGGCATCTGCACAAAGTAACCACGGTTACTGCCACCCTTTGCAACCCTTACACACACATACAATAATGCATGTAGAATTTTTTCATGCTTTCTTGTAAATTTGCACATACAAATTTGTAAAGAAAACGGAAGAATGGGGCCACTGTTTGATAAATCCCGTCATTTGCTACTGTACAGGAATGCACACACTCACTAGACCCCAGGATCGTTCAAAGAGAAGAAAGCACAAGCTGTTCATCCCCAACTATATCTCCTCCATGGCCACTTCCTGGACATAACCATTTCCAGACTCCCTGTCCATCCTGACCTGTCTTCTCCTGCCTGATCCCTGACTCACCTGTGACATTCACTATGAAGCAGACCGTGTCTTTGCCCACGCTGGTGCAGGCGTACAGGCCCGAATCCTTCGGCGTGGCATCACGGATCTGCAGCACCTCCTGCTCTATCAGCGTGCGGTTGTTGGTGCCCAGAGAGCTGCCATCTTTGGTCCACGTGATGGTCCCCGTCACCGGCAGAGGGCAACTTAGCTTCAGCACCTCCCCCGGGTGCACTGAGCACACCGTGGGCTTGGAAATTTGGTATTTGTTCGATGCCTCTGCAGAGCGAATGGGGGAAGGAGGAGCAGGAGGTTGAGGGTGGGGAGAAAGGAGAAAAAAACAGATTGGAGGAGGAAGAGGGTGCACAGGAAAGAAGAAAGACATGTGGGAGAGGAAGAAACAAGCCATAGTATAAGAAACAAAAACACCAATATAACCCCCAATGGATGCACTTGACTCAACTTATGCAGGAGGAGCAATAGAGAAAAGAGGAGGCCCATTTTTTAAACTGTCACACCAACTTGTTACCACAAACTCCCAGCCACTCTTTGGAAATGGAGCCCTTAGGAAATTCCACTGTGTTGTTCCAAAATGTGGTGTGATTGGCACTTATTGATTCAGAGCATGCAGTTACAGCAAGAGCAGGGTGTGTAGGGGAAAAAAATACAAAAAAAAACAAAGAAACCAAAAAACTTGATGCTTTACAAGCAGGTGAGAATTGGACATCACCGTGTTGACAGACAACCACCCTGCTCACAGCCACCCGTCCCTTTTACCATAGCTGCCAAGCAGTAGTGTGTGTGGGTGAGTAGGAGCAGTACAGACAGATCTATTCAGCATAAAAAAGTAATAAAACTCCAGCTCATCTGCCCATCAGGAGGAAAAGCAGCCAGAAAGATCCAGGACGGAAGCAGTTGTCAGACAGGGAAGGGAGAAAGGGAGGGGGTGCTCTCTTTTTTGGCTTTTCTCTTGTTTTGACTCTGTGCCTAAGCTTCAAAAACCTTGATCTGGCTGTAGCCTGACTCTTCTGTTTTCCATCTCTCTTCTTCATTCTCTTTCATAACATGGCCATGGAGGATCTTCAACTTCTGCCAAAGCAGAGAGCAAGAAACTCCGCTTGACTCCTAAGTGCATAAAACCTTCACTCTGGGAGAAAATCCAAGTCCGCCTGTGAGCGCATATTTGTACACAGTGTCTCTTGACTTGTACAAGTGCACAGAGAGAATGAGGTGAATGTCAAATGTACCAAAGGGAATTCTGACCATCCACAGCTGAGACTGAACTTCTACATCAGGACAGATTTTATCCGGATCCATGCAAACTAGACTGAATGTTGAGCAAAATGGGGAGAACCTGCCTGAAGTTGTTTTCTGCCATATATACCAAATCCAATTCCAGTCACCCTGAGCTAACAGACTTTAACACACACACACACACACATACACATTCATTCAGCTTAAATACAAATAGATCTCAATATTCTTTGCAACCATTTTCTGTGAGGAAAAAAAATGGAAGAAAATCCAAGTTTTCCTTTTTTTATTGCATTACCAAAATATCCAAAACACTGTCTGTGTCTGTGTGTTTTCTTCAGACGGAACTAAAGGAAAGGGGGAAAAGAGAGGAGGTATAGCAGTGGAACAATGGAAAAGCACATGGAAAAGCCAGTGATGAAAGTATATGTACAGTGTTTGGCTAAAGGCTGATAGGTGTAATTATAGCGGCAGTGGCACTCCCAGCTATTCCTGTACCTCAATACACCTTTTCAACAACATCCCACCCCCATTATGAGTCCGATGTGTGTTTTAAATGTAAAGAATACACACACACTCTAACCTCAACAGGAAGGGAAAGTCATTCTGCCACAAGCCAATGTGTATGAGCCTTTCCCCCCCCCCCCCCTCCGGGCAAGTAGACACACACACAGGTACAGTTCCTGCATCGTCTTTTTGCTCTCTGTCTTTCCTTCAGTCCGGAAATAATTTAACCCCCCCATCACTCAAGGCTGAGTGTGTGGTCTGATAAAAGGTGGAGCTCCTCTGCTGATTGATGGGAGCTGTCTCTGTTACCTTTTACAACCAGGTTTTCCACACTGGAGGCCTTTGCTTTGATATTATTACTGGCTTCAGCTTTTCTTTTACTGTTTAATTTAGGATTTTAGAGATGTTGAAACATAAGTAATAAGTACAAAGAAAAGGAAGGGAAAGGAGAAAACAGAAAGAAATCTCTGCAAATGGTGTGCTTGATGAACCAAAGCATGGACATGTTAGTTCTGCCATCAGCATTTTCTTAACTCTGCTGTGTCCATCTGTCCCCCTCCATCAACTCCTCATCCTCCTGCTGCTGCCCCTTCATTTCACTCTTTCATCTTCCCTTCCACTTTTGCCTTCTCCTTCCCCCTTCCCACGCATCCCCATTCACACTCCCACCCTGCTGACCCTGCTGACCTAACCCTGACCCTTCACAAACCTGTTGACACCTCCAGCATGCCCGATTGTTCATGGGAACCTCTGTCATGTAAGCACACACATTTGTATTCGTTCCTCGTGGTAGCTTTACATTGACTTACATTTCCTGAAGACTTACATTAACTTTAACCATAACCACTTCTTTCCCAACACTAACCTTTAAATAATCTCCCCCTTAAACCTAGTCATCACCCTAAAATTGGATGATTTACATGGTAAGGACCAGCATCTGGTCCACACGGGGAAGGCCAAGTTCCCACACACATCCTTGTTTTTGTCATTTACCAGGTCCCTACATAGACTTACACACACACACACACACACACATATTGCCAAATCACATTATCTTTGCAGCCTTTCTTTTTTCCTCCCCTATTTCCTCTGTATCCTCCTCATGTAGTCAAATCCCAGGACTTTGCTCCCCTTTTTGTCTCTCCCTCTTTTCTGATGTCCTTTGACATTCAAATCCTTCCTTAGCTTTTTTTTTAATTCTCACAAAGGAGCAGCTCCATGAACAGACTCCTCCTGGCATCCATGGCAACAACCCCGGTTTGCCCACCCCACCACCCCTCATCTAGGCATTCCCTGAACCCTACCCGACCCCTTTAACCCACTGAGCACCCATTATCTCCAAAAATCTTCTTAGACTGATGATTTAGTGACCCACAGAGCAGAGCTCCTGTCTGGCTGGCTATGGCTTCAATATATTAGTTTTAACAATTTAACACTGCACCCATCACAACTTCCCAGACCCAGTGAGATGTCTTCAAATGTCTTGTTTTGTTCAACCAACAGTCCAAAAGGCAAACATATTCTATTTGCTATGATGTAAAATATAAAAAGCAACAAGCTTAAAAAGCTGGAACTATTGAAACTAGAGGCATTTTTTACTAGTTTTTGCTTGAAAAGAGACTGAAATGGTCAACTGATTATCCAAACTGTTGTTGATCATTTCTGTCAATAAATAAATTAATTCATCAATAATCAACTAATCATTTCAGCTATTGGTGGTACTGTTTCCAGTTTTTTTGCCTTGCACAAAAACACACTTCAGAATGATATAGAGCTGATACAGGAATCAAATGTGTGACCTTTCAGATCTATGATTGTAAGCACTGCCATTACTCTAATGAAATATATACAACAGGTGCCGCTTTGTCTATTTAAAATGCAAACTAAAAAATAAATGTTCAGACATACAGTACGTGCCTTTGAGGAATTTGATGAAAAAATGCTCAAATTCATTTCAGTTTGGTTTGATTACATTGCTATTGTTTCATCAGAGCTCTAATTTCTTAGTTTCTTTTTACTTCCTTGTTTTATTCATTGTTTTCCTCCCTCACCCTCCTCTCCGTCTCCTGCCATACACCAAACAGGCCACTGATACCTGAGGCACAAGCTGGCACAGATAGCAGCTCTTCCCATCCTCTTGTCAGACAGGTGTGAGGTTGAGCAGTGGAGTGACAAATGTATTTTCTGGCACATCAGCCAAAGCAAATAACAGTCCACACACATACACACACACACACAGCAACCAATACACTCAAACAGCCACTAATAAAGTCCTTATGTGAAGGCCATATACTGAGCCCAACTGCCACTGCACACCCACCAACTCACACTGTGTTTGTTTAGAGTTCAGCTCCATTGCCATCACCACGGTCACACACACACAGACACACACTCAGTGTCATTAACTGGCCAGCTGACACATTTACACATTTACAACTGTACTCCTACTGTGTAGATAGCACACTGTTACAGACATTTACGCCTGCAATTCCTTCACATTCCCACTGTCACACACAGGAGCATGCACAACATGCAGCTACCAACAGTCTACTAAACATTATGAGCTTAATTAGCACTTTATAGTCATCATCAGAGGGGTTAATAACAAAAGTGATGTATTTTATTAAATAAAGTACAGTATACGGGTGGAAACTTGATAAAAATAAGAAATAATGCAGCCACTAAATATAGAAATGAACCAAGAGAGCAATTATTCTCCCACCGCATTCATCGTTTTGGCCCTGTCAGATTTTGAAAGACATAATGTAGCTGTTATTTATTTAACAAGGAAATATTTTGAAGTGTTGATCCATGTTGATCAGAGCATTTGGTTTGGCAGTGATTACAGGAAAGTACAGCCAAACCATGAGCTGACTTTTGTCAGATGCACTCACAGTCATCCTGCGTTCTAATGTGCACCACATCACATTTATTCCTCATTATATGCAAACAGGGCCTTGTACCAACCACAAAACAGAGAATGCCAGACACACATACACACACACACACACACACACACACACACACCTTATGTGTTTGGTACCATTGTTATTCAGCTCAATCTGAGTATTTTAACCACTGTGCAAACGGAGAACGCCTGGACAAGGTAAACACTCCCACAGATACTGAAGTGGCTACAGCGACAACAATAGGTCTGTTGTGGAGGCTTTAACCAGCACACTCACTACACTTCTACTGTTACAGCAGCCACAGGTAGACAAACTAGCAAGGCCACCAGGGGTGCAGGCGTGGACTCTATAGAGACAACACTGATATGCAATCTGATGAATCTACAGCAATTCCTGCTTCCACACACAGAGGCAGCGGTGTGACCGAGGCTACAGGGCAGAAAGGGGAGGAGGGAGGTGGAAATCCTAAACATCTCTGCAAGGCAGTGTTATTATGACAGAGAGGGCAGGTCCAGTCAATCTGACTCCTTAACATGTGCACTATGCCCTACAGGTAACATCAGTGCAGCCTATTAAGGGTAGTGAACAGAAGGAGACCACAACAAACTGGAGCTGTGATTCAATCACACATAGTGCCAGTTAAAAAAAAAAACTATTTATCTGCAATGCACACCAGGGAAACTGACTCAAGATCAGATAAGCAGGCCATGCCTTGTTGATCTCCATCATGTGACCCCAAGATCTAGCCACTTAATCTCCAGTCACATGACTTCACCACTGACCAGTGCTCTGTAATCTCTCCATCTAAAGGAGAAGTCAAATATGCACAAATCCTCTTAGAACTTTCCTGGAGGATTGTATAACTCTGGAAAACTCTCCCACTCTTTCTGTCCTCTCTGTGGCCATGTAGCATAGCATCCGGGCCATCTGGGGCTCTGAGCCCACCGGCTTGGAGCCAAACAGTCTCAGACAGAAAACAACAAGTGGAGAGGAGAGCTTAGGTGGCCTCTCATCAAGATGGGTAAGAGAAAGTACAGTATGTGTGTGTGTAGAGTGAGAGACAGAAAGAGATGGGGGAGGTGTCTTAAAAAAGTGATGCTCTGTTGTTGGCCTAACTTAAAATTAGCAAGCTGATTAGAGCCTAGGAACAAAAGGCTTAGGAATGTGAGTTAACATCCATCACAACAACTCTAATTAGCCAGTCTCTGGGCAGACTCTGAGACTAGAAAATGGAGAAGCCTAAAAAAAAGAATGACCAAAAAAAATGTCAGGACAATAGAAGACAGCCTTTTAAGAAATGTTTCT